CATTTTATACTTTTAAGTCCTACTTTTTCAATCATAGACATGACACCAGACACCATACTCAAAGGTCCCAGAGGGCAGGGACTGGGACTTTAGGTACTGCGGAGGTATTTAGGAAATACTGAATTAACATACTAAGGAGCATGTGTACAAAGTTCTTATAAGCTATTTAATTTTAATAGCAATGAATAAATATGTCCTCATGGCAACTCAAGGCATTTAGACAAGAAGGAAGTTACCGCCATTGAATTATTTCTTATAAAAAGAAACCTGATGCGTGGATATAACTTAGCAGAAGAAATGTAACTGTGAAGCCCAGGTGTCCAAGCTTTATTTCAGTCTTCTTTTCCTCTATGCACCCACCACATGCATTCCATGTGCCTTCTTTTTTTTTTTTTTTTTTTGGTTTTGTATTTATTCATAGAGACAGAGAGAGAGAGGCGGAGACACAGGCAGAGGGAGAAGCAGGCATCATACAGAGAGCCTGATGTGGGATTCGATCCAGGGTCTCCAGGATCACGCCCTGGGCTGCAGGCAGCGCTAAACCACTGCGCCACCAGGGCTGCCCTCCATGTGCCTTCTTAAATCATACAACACTTTAAAATAAAGAAAACAAAAATTTACAAACTATAAAGAAAACAATTAGCCAATAGAAAACTCTAACAGAGCTTAAATAGCTGCACTCAATTTTGTTATGATCTCCTTGCTCCATTATACCATTTCCTGTTCACATTCCAACCACACTTCTCCTTCTCTTAATTTACTAAAGACTCAAAGCTTTTAGATAAAGGTATAGAATTAAACTATTGCTAATTTAATGAGTTCTCAAAAAGTTTCAAACAAAAACAAATTGAAGTTCCTTTAAGCATCAGAGTTAATTTTTGCTTCAATATCACATATTCTGAATCATATTCAAGAGATGGACATTGCTAGAGCTTAACTGATCACCTCTTGGGGGGCATTTTGTCAAAAAGCAATTAAATGGCTATTAATGTGCCAGGTAATGAGTGCTGGACCACACAAAGTTTAACAAAATTTTGTCCTTGATCTAATGAAACACAGAGATGAGTAAGACACAGAAAGAGAAAGAGAGAGAGAGAGAAAACACTATCATAAAATACACTGATCATAATGGTGTAACTCTATGTCACTATTATGGAAACACAGGTGAGGGATACACAATATAACCAGAGAGAGATGGGGTTTAGTAATGGAAATAATCCTCAGGCTGAGTCTTGAAGGATGAGTAAGAAGCCAGGAGACTTTTCCAGCATGTGAACAAGTTGGAGAGATTTTTGAGGAGGAAAGAGAGGCAGAAAGAGATAAAACAGATGTATTTGGAAAATTTTCTGTCCTATTAAAGAGCCCATGTTTTATCTTGTAAGCAGCAGGAATCACTGAGGGGATTCAACCAGGGGAGGGTTGAAAACATTTTTGTGTTTTAGAGGGATCATTGTGGAAGAAAATACAAAAGACAGATGCAAGGGGAACAGGATTGGAGACACGGACAGTCTGTCTAGAGCAGGAATCAGCAAACTTCTTCTACAGAGAGCCAGAGAGTAGACATAAGTAGTAGGCTTTGGAAACTGTACACTCTCTGTCACAACAAATTGACTCCAGTGTTGTGGTGTAACAGCAGTCATGTAAACAAATGAGCATAGCTGCGCCCCAATAAACTTTATTTACAAAAAAACAGCAATAGTTTGGCCCCTCAAGCCTTACTTTGCCAACCCCTGGTCTAGAACAGCACTGTCCAAAAAACCTTTATGCGATAATGAAAATGTTCTATAGATATGCTACCCAATTTGGTAGACACCAGTAACATGGGGCTGTGAAGCATGTGAAATGTTACCAGTTAGACTGAGAAACTGAATTTTTAAATTAAATGTAAACAGTTACAAGTGACTCATGGGTACCCTCTTGGGCAGTACAGGGTTAGAAGTTGGTACAGGAGCCTAGGCAAGACATGATGGGAACTGATGGTAGAGACAGAGAGATAGTGGCAAGGCAAGAAATATTTAGGATCTAATGATGGACCAAATGTAGGTGAGAGAAACAAAGATGATAACCACATGTCAAGCAGGAGTGACTGACAGAGAATGGCTGGGCCACATGCTGAATAAGAGAATATAAGAAACTACAGAGGGAAATATGTTGCATTCTATTTTAGACATGTTGACTTTGATGTCCACTTGGAAGGAGAAAACACTTGACTATAAAACACAGAAGTAGGTAATATTAAATATGCTCTTTTTAAAGAGAAAGCAACTGTAGTACAGTGATGTTAAATAACTTACCCCAGGTCAGGGCAGGTTAAGTGGCAAGGCTGAATTGCAACTTGAGTTTATCTGGTTCTAAAATTCATGCATAGTCCATCACATGAAAATGAGAAAATTGGTAATAGTTGACACCGTGAAAGAACTCACCCCAGGGAGAAGCATGGAGAAGGTCAGTGGGCCCAAAAGAGAGCCTCAGGGAACACCAGCATTTATGGAACTCTTACCAAGGAAGCTGAGAGAGTATGGTCAGAGAAATACAAGGACTGGGTGAATACGGTGTTATGAAAGCAAACCGTAGAAGAAGGTGCTCAACAGCATCAAGTCCACAGAGAGACATAATGAGACAGGCACCAAAGGGAGTTTGCTGCATTTTGCAACTGGAAGTCACTGGTGCCTCTAATGAAATAGTTCCAGCACAATGACAGAGGAGGAAGCCTAATTTTAATGAGTTTAAAGAGCAAAAAAAGGTACAATAGAGAAAGCAAGTATAAACTATGTACTTCCAGTGTTCATTGGGTTTTAGCATGTTGAATATGAATGACATTAAGCATTTACTGTATATAATACCCAATGGCAAGCACTGTGCCAGGTGCTTTATACACATGATCTCACTGAATCTTTACAACAAACTGTGAGGCCTATAGGCATCATCATCCCTGTTTTATAGGTAAGAAACCAATCTTAGATTAAATAATCTTCCACTCATATACAATGGTGAGTGGGAGAGTTTGGATTTGATTGCAGGTCTTTTGACTTCATAGTCATTGCTCTTTGCTCTAGATTTTCACATTATCAGAGTCTTTGAGGATTGTAGAAGAATTATTATTTTAAATATATAAATGGCCAAGCCTAAGAAACTTACTATCTTCTTGAAGAAATATTACACCATCTGAAATACTGGCAAACAAAATAAGACAGTATATAAACAAAACTTGGGAAAGAAAATGTCCAGCAGCAGCTCTGTAATCTATTTGCTCTTATTTGGGGAGTGGAAGGATCACTCTTCCTCTGCTCCCACAACCTTTGGCAAGAAAAAAAAAGATCAGTCTGGGGAACCTAGGTGGCTCAGTCAGTTAAGCATCTGTCTTCAGCTCAGGTCATGATCCCAGAGTCTCAGTATTGAGCCCTCACATTTGGCTCCCTGCTCAACAGGGAATTTGCTTCTCTCTGACCCTCCCCCATTCTCATGCACTCTCGCGCTCTCTCTCTCTCTCTCTCTCTCTCTCTCTCAGATAAATAAAATTTTTAAAAAATCAGGCTAATTGCTTGGTGAACATACTAATGACAGATGTCCTGATAAACAGACTTAGGTATTTGTTGCAGGAGAGTCTCATCCATGGAATGCTTTTCAGATAAACCTAGTTTAGGATTGCTTATGGTACCCCTTGGGGAATATTTCATAAGTTATGTAACTATCTATTAAATGGCAGTGTTTCATAACCTCTATGTCCACAATAGGAGCTATATATACTGCCTATATGGCCCCTCATAGATAACCATATTCCAGAGTCAGCCCAATGCCAAAAGGACCCAGGGAATCATTTTGATGGTCCTGAACATCTCCCTAATTTCAGGGCTTCGTGATTACCTGGATCCTTGGGATTATTAGTAAAGTTTAATAGAGGGTACAGTCTAACCCACACGAGTCTGGTTTGACACTCTCAATTCCCTGGGTTATCTCTGTACTAAGTCACAAAAGGGCTAACTGCCATCCTGGGAGCCTCCCCTGGCTTTGTTACTTTGACCTAAGATTTAAAAATAGGTAAATTTTTCAAAGATAGAGGATGTGAATAAGGGAAGAAACGAAAGAACCACTCACAGGTGTATGAGACAGTAAGGGCTCAAAATGGACCCTAATGAATAAGAAGAAATAAGGCTGGAGACATATGGAGCACATTACAGTGAACCTCAAAGTCAGAGAAGTGTCTAAATAGGATGCAGTTTTTAGAAGAAAATAAGGTACAGAAAGTGGATCCCAGGGAAGATTACATCAGTAGCCCTGTGAAGAGAGGACTGAAGAGAGGGTCAATCTGGAAGGACGGAAGTCAGTCAGAAGGCTATGGCACTAACTGAACTGTGGATATCCAGAAGGCCCTCACCTAGGACCATGGACATGGAGTGAAAAGAACAGCTAACGTTACACAGAAAAGACATCAGCAGTCCTCACTAAATGACAAGATAAGTGTAATACAGCACCATAATAAATCCATTGGCAAATATGAGCAACTACCTCCTCCATGGGGTGGAGCTTAATTTCCTTTCTCCCTCACCCCCTTGAGAGTGGGCTCTACTTCATATCTTGCTTTTCAAGAATAGATAAGGAAAAGAAAAAACTTCACAGTGGAGAAACCTGGTAAACACCACTTTAACCATGGGATGCAAGTTCACATCCCCAGTGATGTCACATGGACACCATGTTCCTCCTGACATGATGTGATGAGAAGGGCATTCTAGTGTCAAGAATATGAACTGGACCCAAGTTGAACCCAAGTATAATAAAGCATCACCATCCTTCAAAGAGAGCTTTGTTGTAAAGCTAGGACCACCACTTTCTAACTAGGTTTCTCTCACTTTTCCAAAGCTTGGTTTCCTCATGTGCACAATGGTGATAATAATTAATATCACATATTCTCATTTTTATTCAGTAGCTTTAGGATCTTGGAAAAAACTTCCCAAACTAAAAGTAAACAGCACAAGTTTAAAATAATGAGATTAATAACCTACCGCTGGTTCACAAAAGGGCTGGAAAGTTCTGCAAGCAGGCGAAAATTCCCAATGGATGCCAGGACTCCATACCTCTGGATGATAGACATAAAACACAATGTCAGGGAGGACAAGCTTATCAACATTTCTAAATATTAAAAGAACATTCAATAACTTCTCCATGTAAAATAACATCAATACCAAAACAAACCATGTCTCCTAGCTGATTTTCGTTATGAGAATTTAGAAATGTCACTACAATTCTATAATATTTTTAAAAGACAGCATATTGTACAGTTATGTACACTTATAAAAACAGATTTTAAGCAGTTTCCCATGTTGAACTAATGAATTCTGCAAACAGCCAATGGTAGCAGCATTCTCAAATTACTGTAAAAATAATGACCAAAATAGCATAAATTTCAGAAGTTGAAGAATTTTATAGCAATGAAATACCTACTAGAAACTCATTTTTATATCCATCAATAAAAGTATCTTTAAAATCTCAAAAGTGTACTTAACATCCTCAATAACAATATGTGAGTCTGTGAGTAGATGCATATTTGCCAAGGGTACACACATGCTAAAACTTATTTATCGCACTTGACCTGAAAAATATATTTGTCAATCAGAAGATACTGCAGCTAAAACACACACTTTAAGGACCTTTATGAACTTAGAAACACAATGCCTAGTAGTACATTGTATGAATTTAATAATAGGAAAAGTAGAGCTAATAAACATTAGAAGAACAAAAGTATACATTTCAAAAATATCGTGTAATTAAAAAAATTATTGCTAGGTAAATAGTCATTTCAGTACTTCTAATTCAATCAGAATTATGATCACACACAAAAAGAAATAGTCCTACCTACCCCCAAAACATTAGATACACATGGAACTTCAGAAACCCGATGCCTAAAAGCTATACCATGCTGTCTTCCAAATGGGAATGATGCAAAGCAATAAAAACATGAACTTTTCATTTGAATATTTTCAGTTCTTCTCCATAGAAATTATTTTAGGGATTAAAAATTCAGAGCTTGGGGATCCCTGGGTGGCTCAGCGGTTTGGTGCCTGCCTTTGGCCCAGGGTGCGATCCTGGAGTCCCGGGATCGAGTCCCACGTTGGGGTCCCGGCATGGAGCCTGCTTCTCCCTCTGCCCCCCCCCTCATAAATGAATAAATAAAATCTTTAAAAATAAATAGATAAAAATAAAAATTCAGAGCTAGTTACACAAATTAGCTTTTCCAACACTAATTTAGAACTTTTTATAATCTCAAACTCACTGGCCTTAGTGAAATTGAAATGTGTGATGAGGAGAAAGAGAAGAAGGGCACCTGGGTGGCTCAATGGTTGAGCAACTGCCTTTGGCTCAGGGCATAATCCCAAAAGATCGAGTCCTGCATCAGACTCCCTGCCGGAAGCCTGCTTCTCCCTCTGCCTATGTCTCTGCCTCTCTCTGTGTGTGTCTCATGAATAAATAAATAAAATCTTAAAGAAAAAAAGAAAAAGAAGGAACAGAGGGAACAGGCACAAAGACAGTGGGTGATTATTGTGCACGGGGGTGATCAACTTTATCTAAAGTCAGCTGAGACACAGCCACACCACTCCAAAAACACTGACAACATAGAAATAATCACTCACATGTGTTATTACTTTAACAAAGAATTATAAAGAATCAGTGTTTATCTGAAATTATATATTGTTTTGTACTATTTACTTTTCTGTTACAATAAGAGCTTTTATTTAAAAAGATTAGTTTAATAATGGCAATTAGTAGTAATTAAGAATAGGACTAATTTAACCAGTAAATGTATGAAAACAATATTTTTATGGTTTTTTTTTTAATAGGAGGAGAGAGAAGGAAAGGCGGGGGGGGGGGTAGAGGGAGGGAGGGCGGAGGGAGAGAGAGAGAGAGAATCTTAAACAGGCTTCATGCCCAGGAGCTGATGTGAGTCACACTCTCAGTACCCTGAGATCGTGACCTGAGCAGAGATCAAGAGTCAGATGCTTAACCAACTGAGCCATCCAGGCGCCCCAACGTTTTTATGTTACTTTCTACCCTTTTATTTAACTCTTTTTTTCTGGATATTTAAATTTACTAGGCTATATTATTGTATATTTCTGAGGCTTTGTAAAAGGAGAATGTAAATACAATTGGGACTAATTAAACAGTTGTCTATATTTAATAAAAAATAGTGACAACTTCTTATCCATGACACAGTAGGATATTTTTACTCTGTTTCCTTTTCCAATACTACTACTATGAACTGCCTGCAGCCATTAGGTGAAATTATATATATATATATATATATATATATATATATATATATATATATATATATAAAATACACACACATATACACACACATATTTTGCTTTTATTCCCCAGGAATGAACTACAGTCCAGCATACAATTCACTTTGGTTTCTAACTCTGCTCTTAGAAGTCCACATTACTTATATCGGTCCAACAGGAGGACCTCAACCTAAATATTTTCCTAAGAAAGATGTGAGCATAATATACTTGAGGTTTTACTTACTAGCAACAGCAGGCTTCTTAGAGTTATAAGAATTAAGTCCCTAGCTCTCTTAAAAAGGTCCACCCACTTTATTCCTACAGGCTTGTTTTGCTAGACCAACTGTTTGTTTCCAAGGTCCTTTGCATGTATAAATTCATCATATAGACTACTCATTTCTAAAATAGCCATCCTTTTCAACACTCCAAAGCACACTGGGTGGATTCCAAGTAAGTTAGAGTTCTAGTAAAGAAAATCCTGTTCAGTGTGGCTACTCTTTTCTGGTAACATTTTTTAGTTCAGAAGCAGTCCAATTTCCCCAAAATGAGTCATTTTTCCATTGCAAGAGTGTTCATCACAACCTGCACACCCCATCAAATAACTAAGGTTTGGATTGTTCATCCTTTTCTGGCTGCTTACCGGTCCCCTCAGTAATCACCAAACACTTTTAGAGAAACGGTACATAAATACCCATTTACTTAATGTAATACTTTTCTTCCTTTTCCAATTTATTTCCAAGTTACAGAAGGACATTCTCCTTGCCTCACACTCTAAACATGTGATTTTACAGCTGGCCAACATTTGCTAGCAACAATTGTAGCTATGTTGTAGGCACATGTCTATGGAGATCATCTCCTTATATTTCCATAAAGTCAAAACTTTCATTGTTTTTGCAGGTTTTGAGGAAGCTAAAGGTGACAAAGAACCTTCATTGTGAAAGCCTCAATGTCACAGGTAAGCAAATCACATTCCTTTTTAGCACTGTTCTATGCATGATGTAGAAGACATTTCGCAGGTAGTAACTTTTCATTTTATTTGGTAAGAAGTTGATAGACCAAATGGAATTTGCCAGACTTACATTTGTGCTGTCTGCCAAATATGCAGACAGATTGAGCAAAATCTAATCCATACTTGAACACATCAACAATTTTTGTTTATTTGGATTCTTTATAATCTTTATAGAAATCAAAAATTCAGCTTGGACTCCATTTTTCAAATCAAAGTACCTCAGAGCTAGGGGAACATCTTTTTGTTGCTGTGATTCGGTGCAACACTTGATAGAATGAAGAAAGTATGATCATTAGTAAGATCCAACAGAATCAGCTCTCTATGTTGTAAGAAGCCAACACATCTGTTATCAAAATTTCCCTTTTTTTTTTTTTTTTTCACTGACAGGATGTTTTAGTTGCAACCTCTGAATCAGGAAATGTAACTTTAGTCAGTTTCATAGAGCAATCAAGGGAAAAAATAAAATGTGTACATCCATGTGATATGTCCAAGTTAATTCAGTGCCTGCTATTTTCAACTGAACGTCAATGTCTTTTTGGAAAATGAAAAAAGTACAGATTGAGATGCATTTGCTTCTCTCATTCCAGACTTGTGAGACTCAGTCTCTTCAGGTGCTTTTACATCCCTATCTCTACCAGGCCCAGGTTAATTTGCCAGAGCTGCTATAACAGAATACCACAGGTTGGGTGGCTTAAATAACAGAAGGTTATTGTTTTACAGTTCTGGAGGCTAGAAATCCTAGATCAATGTGCTAGAGATCAAGGTGGATCCATGTTCTTTCTGAAGGTTCTAGGGAAGGCTCTGCTCCAGGCCTCTCTCCTAGCTTCTTGCAGTTCCTTGGCTTCTGGCAGTCCAACTCCAATCTTTAGGCCTTTTCCCTGTGTGCATGTCTGTGTCCAAATTTCCCCGTTTTATAAAGATACCAGTCACATTGGATTAAGGACCCACCTTCTCAACGATGACCTTGTTTTCACTTAACTAATTACATCTGTATTGACCTTATTTCCAAATAAAGTCACATTCAGAGATAGTAGACCTTAGGACCTCAACAAATGAATTTGGGGGCGGGTTACAATTCATTCCATAACAATGCCCAAACTCAAATTCTTTTCCGCACGTTGTGCAGTATGGTCTATCTTGGTTATCCAATTCCCTCATCCATGTGTCTTTCCATACATCTATAATAACATACCACTATATACTAATATATGTAATAATATACATATTTCCATATATAATAACTATAACCTTCTTTATTGGTGATGCTTAGAGCATTCTGGTGTTGGTATCATAACTATTCTCATTCTGGTTATCCAAACTTCCAATAGACAAAGATAATTGTTAATGCTCATGATTACAACATACCTCAGTTCCATCATTCAGCATAATGTGACAATGAATGATCCATTATTGTGAATTGCAAATCATGGTTGCCATGATTTTTTTGCATCACAGAAAAAGATTTCACAGGATGTAAGACTTTCAGTGCTAAAATGGTAAAACCAAAATGGACTTGTGCAGGCCACTCCTATCTTTGTTTTATTATGAATTTTATTATAATAAATCTCAAATGTCAGGTGAACTTTTTCATTTTAATAATCAGAATCATCTTCCCAGCAATGAGAAAGAGACATGAATAAAGAGTAAATGTCTTGGGATGCCTGGGTGGCTCAGCAGTTGAGCATCGGCCTTCAGCCCAGGGCGTGATCCTGGAGTCCTGGGATGGAGTCCCATATCAGGCTCCCTGCTTGGAGCCTGCTTCTCTTTCTGCCTGTGTCTCTGCCTCTCTCTGTGTGTGTGTCTCTCATGAATAAATAAGTACAATCATTAAAAAAAAAAAAAGAGTAAATATCTGACCTAACTCATGCCGCACAAAGAAGCACTTTGAAGATAATAGGAAACAAATTGCCTTGCATATGCCAAGTTCCTTGATGTTTTGTGGATTTATTTTTTAGTTTTGGTGATTTGTTTGAAGTTTAGGTAAGTGTTTCCAAAGGAAGTAGTTGGAATATTTCAGTTAAGAAAAGGTCAGGAAAATAAGTAATTGTGTTTAGTTGGAGACCATCCCAGTAAAATTAAAAAGCTAAAATGTCCTGCTTTCCTCTACTACATACTTAAATTCTGCAGTGAGCAGAGCAAGGGAGAAGAGCTTTGAAAATAGTGCACAGGTAGAACATAATTTTTGGGGAGGCGAAAAAAGCAAGGAAAATAGTTACTTTAGGGAGATTCTTACTTGAAGCACACATATGAAAATCTTAGAAATATTTTTTATTAGGAGAAATCCTCTATTATAATAAATTTATGTGTGTAATAAACATTTACTCTTATTTTTTAATATTTTTTAAAAGATTTTATTTATTTATTCATGAGAGATGAGAGAGAGAGAGAGAGACAGCGACACAAGCTGAGGGAGAAGCAGGTTCCATGCAGGGAGCCCGACGTGGGACTTGATCCTGAGACTCCAGGATCACGCCCTGGGATGAAGGCAGCACTAAAACACTGAGCTACCAGGGCTGCCCTACTCTTATTTTTAAAGTTAATTCTCTCATTTATAACATTGCCTTTCTCTTTTCAGGTAAAGGCAGCTCTTATTCCAATCTATTTTTCTAACAATCTTATTCTTTTGTTTAATTGTTTTAAATCTATGGTATTCTAGGTAACTATATCCAATGTTTAGAGAGTATGACAGACCAAACTACTATAAAATATGAATTAATATGTTCCTAGGGTCAGCCAAAGCCATGCTAAATTCCTTACTGTATCTTTCAAGTAAATCATTTTTCCAAAGATGAGATCCAATACTGAAAAATTTTTAATTTTTGTGATTTCTAAAATATTTGCAAGCAGATACGCCAAAGTCATGCAAAATATTGAAATAATATTCCAGCAATAGTCTTACTTTCAGAATTTTAAATATTTCTCTCTACTGAACTTTAAAAATACAAAAAAAAACCATGTACTGACTTTTTTTAGAGTCTAGAAAATTATTTCTTTTAACTCCTTTCAAATTGGTATAAAATTAAAAGTAATATTAACCAAAATATCAAATTAACATCAGATAAAACCTGACTTTATAATAGTCTTTAAATATTAAAAATGACTAGCAAAAATTATAAATTTTGTATGTTACTTTCATCTAAATTTAGACAAAATGCAGTATCTCCACACTTTGAAAAGACTTTCTCTTGATTTATGAAAAATTGGGCATAGCATCCTAGCTGTTCTTCTAATTTCTCTCCCCTCTTCCCAAAGAAAAGGGTTAGTTCTCTCATTTCTAACCCAGTGGTTCTCAAAGTGTGATCACTAGCCTAGAAGCATCAGCATTACCTGGGTATTTGCTAGATATGCATATTCTTGGGCCCATGACAGATCTCCTGAATCAGAAACCCTGGGGGTCAGATAAGCAATCTAGTTTTAACAGACCCTCTACATGATTTCAATATTCAATAAAGGTACACAACCATTGCCCTAGCTTACAGATGACCTAGGAATCTCTAAGCCCTTGGGGAAACTATCTCCCTACTTCTCTGACATTGTAATTAGTGAAGATTTACAAATCCCCCATCAGATCCCACCAGCATTATGAAGGTAGACTAGCTGTATCCCTCTAGAAATTTTTCCCCGACTCCTTAATATCCATCAGGGTTAAGTGTCTCAACAGATCTCTCTGCTTGTCAGAGTACTTAACTCCCTGCAAATATCTGTATTCTTTGTCTCATTCTTTCTATCCATAAAGCCTAGTGCAGTGCTTGGCCTATATTTTCTGAGTTGAACCTCACCTGCCTCCTCAGTGTGAAACAAGCAGAATCACCTCCAAAACCAGAATCCTAAGAGTCCTACAAACCTATTTCTGAGTGGGTAAGCACTCTAATGAGAATATTAGTATTCCATTCTAAAAGAAAAGGAGAAAAATATCCAGATGTTAATTTTGTAAAGAGATCAGTAGAAAAGAGTTAGAGGTCATCATAAATGTATATGATAAAAAGAAAAGTCTGATATTTAATCTCCAAAAATTTATACATTTAGATTAGTGAAGCAAGACAGAAAAAAGTGGGTAGGCAAGTAAAAGAGATAGGGAATATCACCTTACTTCTATCAGATTGGCTAGTGTCAAAGCTAAAAAAAAAAAAGTAAGTGTTTGCAAGGATATGAAGAAAAGGGAACCTTCATACACTGTTGGTGGGAATGTAAACAGACATAGCCACTATGGAAAACAATATGGATGTCCTCAAAAAATTAAAAATAGACTACCATATGATCCTGCAATTCTACTTCTTGGTATTTACCAAAAAAAAAAAAAAAAAAATAAGAACACCAATACAGAGAGATATGTGCACCCCTATGTAGCATTATTAACAGCCAAGATATGGAAGCAACCTAAGTGCTCTCTGATAAATGAATGGGTAAAGAAGATATGGTATGTACACACAATGGAATATTAGTCATTAAAAAAAGAATGAAATCTTGCCATATATGAGAACATGGATGGACTTGACCTAGAGAGTTTTATGCCATGTTAAAGAAGTCAGTCAGAGAAAGACAAATACCATATGATTTCACTTATATATGGAATCTAAAAAAACCAAAACAAATGAACAAGCAAAACGGAATAGAAAGACTCACAGATACAAAGAACAAACTAAACTAATGGTTGCTAATGGAAAAGTCTGTTGGTGAGGGACAGGGCAGGTAGCCAAATGGGTGAAGGAAGTTAAGATGTACAAACTTCCAGTTATAAAATAAGTCATAAAGATATAATGTACAGCAAGGGTAGTATAGTTAATAATATTGTAAAAACTTGGTTTGGTGATGGATAGTACTACACTTAATGTGTAGATCATTTGGTAATACATAAAAATATAAAATCATGATGATGTAAGCCTGAAACTAATAGGATATCATATGTCAACTATACTTTAATTAAAAAAAATAGAGGTAAGAGAATT